ATATCTCCAAAAGATTTCTTGAAGAATTTACCAGATTATACACATCGTTGAAGAAATATAATAGAATTTATGCAAATTATTAATGAATGTATTACGTCATATTCAATAAATAAATATCAATGATTTTTAGAGAAAAAAATTATTATGGGAAACAATATTTCAATTATTATTGAATATTTTTATTGAAAAAATGAAGGATTTCAATAAACAATCGAGGCTACGAAATGTTTTTAAAAAAACAATCTATGAATTTTTTCCCGGAAAATAATCTAGTTAAAAACAATAACACAATTTTGATATTCCAATGATTTTTCCCGCAAATTTTCAATTATTTCAACAGTTCTGCCCCGCAAGCCTATTGGGTCTATAGATCAACCGGATTTGGTCATGGCCAATATATAATTTAGACTAGACTGAAGAAAGGGAATTTAAATTGATGAAAAAAAAAATGCATATTCAAAAGCGGAAGTGAACACCTGTGTCCGGAGACGCGTAAAAGTGATGCGGATAGAATCGGCGCTGGCCAGATGGTATACATTTTTATTTTTTTATTTTTTAACGACGACAGGAGAGTCAACGCCGATGGGTATTCGTTGGTAAGCACGTGCTGGGGAATAATCTTTTTATATGTGGAGATGTGTGTAACGTGGGGAGGCGAGTGGGCGAACGAGTATAAAAGTGAGACGGTCACCAGCTGTGCCAAAGATGAGACAAGACACCTACGTGATGCACAGATTTTATGTTTTTTAAGTTATTAAATTTTTTTATTGAATTTTTTTAATGCAAAATTTACAATACCGGTGATATCGGCGCGTCGAATAAATTTTTAACCTTCGATTCACCCATGATATCCACCAGACTAATAAATCCGTAAAATTATATGAAATCATTACTAAAATAATTAAATATATTAATTAAGAATGGAGCAAGCGGAGAAGGTGTAAAACACATGTCTTGTAACACCAAAGAAAATAAAAAACTATTATTGCTAAAATAATTATTATATTATTAAAGCAAGATTTTATCCATTATAAATATCAATATATCTTATCCCTTCAATTTAATAATAATAGTCTTTAATCATTGCAAACTAAATTGTTTTCTTCAATTTTTCACTACAAAATTGCAACTCTGGGGTGCTATGATGATTATTTAACATTAAATGGTCATTACACGCGCAGAAAACAGTATAAATGCGAAAAACATTATTTACACACACATACTCGAGAAAATGTAATATATCCAATATATCCTGAATATCCTGAATATATTTGAATACAAATGACATCTAATCCAATTATATTCAAGTATTAGCGTATTTTTTTCGTGATGCCAATCAGTAAACAAATAATCATCTTTCAAAGTCGACGAGAGCAATGAAATTATTCCAGTTCAAGAAGTTTAAAATTTGAATACATGTGATTTAATGTAAATAACCCAATCCAGGAAGTGATAACCCCATTTGCGTACATTGTAGATGAGTACAATAACGATAGTACATCAATTGAAATAATTCGTTGATGCATTAAAATTCGCATGTACACGGACAATATCAACTGCCTTGAAAATAACGTCCGGATGAGTATCCTATTGACTCACTGATATCGATGCGTAATAAACTATAAACGGAGGCAGTAAACATGAATTACGCGGTTACTTGTTCCCCAGATGAATTTCTGATAATAACAATTTTATTTTTCACTGAGGAAAAAAAAATGAAAAACAAAGTTGAAGTACAAATGTAATGCGAAATTCAAGTCACGACGTTCCCTCGTGGATTTGCTAGTTTTGCAGAAGCCAATTGAGTTGTCAGATGTAATTGCCAAGAGATTATACAAAAATAATTGGATAATTGCACAAACAATATTTATGGTGATAAATTGATTTTTGTGGAGATTTCCAACTCGATTCCACCAATTGTCCATCAAAATCACTAACCGATCGCAATTGATATACGAGAGGATTGATTAAAAGTTGAATAAGTGCCCTGCAGTTTTTGCAAATGGAAATTCATTAGTGCTGCCTTCTGCCCTGTTCATCTCCACTAATTAATGAAATAAGCATTTGAACGAGAAATTACGGGGGAAAAATTGTTATCGACGAAAGTCGTCACCAATCGCTCGTAATTAATTGAGTGGACTCTTTAACAAATCGATTCCAACAAATTACCATACGAAATAACGAGTTTACACTCGATGAGACAGGTGCTTATCTGTCGTTGAAGACCATCCGTTTGCCAGTTAGATTTCAGGGGTAGATAATCACCTGCGTAAGTACGACGAGTAATAAACCATCAGGGGTGAGCTTTCAACCTGTTGCGAGTGTTGATTTTTTTTCCCCTATCGGTGGAATAAATCGACAATCCATCAGCAAAATTTCCCGAAAAATAACGATTTTTTTTTCAATTACTACAGCGATATCAGAGCGAACAAGTGTTTATTTTGGTTGTTAATACCGTTTAACTTTATTTTTCAATTCATTTTGAATAAATAAAATGGAAAGTTATGTTTATTCCAAATTTATAGTTCAAATTTTGAAATTCACTAAATTTACGAGATATTTTGGGATTATTTTTAATGATTCGTACACGGAAATTAATTTTAATTCATTCATTAATTTATGAAAACCATGAGATTATTATTTCGACGTTCATAACTAGAAAAACGCAATTATTCGAAAGCGCGAATAATAAACTTCCAAATAAAACCATAAATTAAAGTCAAAGCAGACTTGACATACAGTCCCATGTTCACTATTATTTAAATAATTGTCACGCCCGTTTGAGTGGAAATAAATGTATGAAATTAAAACAATTCGGAGTGAATTTCGAGATTTATAAAATGGCGCAGAAAATACGTTACGAACGTATGAGCAAGAGGGAGATTTTGAAGACTGAAGTGGAGGATTTAAAAAATGAAAAATTGTCGAGAATTTAGTGGTGGTTGTGAAAAAACCACTGGATTACGATTAAATTTGAATGGATTACACATAATGCGGATGGTGAGTCAGATCCCAGGTGGATTGTACGGGTAAAATAAATAAATAAGAGGGTCCACAGGTGGGCGTTTACATCTCTTAGGGACGCCTTCGGGAATATCCCAGACGAGATGAGGCCACTATTCTAACCTGGACAGTTTCACAATGGGATATCGCTTACACCCGCAGGGAATGCATCCAAAATCTCGGGGTAACGCCTCAAATATGCGAGAGGAGACAATTTTTTTTTTCATTGCAGCATTTTTTTTCGTCGCTAATAAATGACGCATCAATTATGCATTCTGCATGATTATCGTAGGAATTATTCATTGATTTTGGACACCCGGGATCATTTCAAGGGGCTAATGATAATAATTTAGATTATCTCTGAGAAGAAAACGAATTCGCAGATTTTTTATATCATATAGTAATGGAAATTTTGATAAATTTAGTGCTTGCTGGGGAGATTCTTCTGTCAGATTTTTAATATTATTGATAATATTGATATGAAATTGCGAAAAATACATTGTCCGATACTCGAAACTCAAAAAATTAAATATCCCTTAATTCTTTCTCTCTGTGTGCTGTGAAATAGATCGTATATTAATGAAGTTTTTCATAATCGATCAATTGCCACGGGAAAATTATTCTCCAGTTTTTAAAAAAAATTGACGTCACGACCCAAAAAAAAAGCATTTTTTGCACACGAATGGAATTAAATATTTTTGTTGAAAAAACCAACAAAAAATTTGGATGTGTGTAGAAATATTTAGTGTGCAAAAGTTGTTTGAAAAGTCTTTCTGGGGAATCCAGGAGTGAAATGATTTCGACTGTACGAAAAGTGAGGGATTTTCAAAGTTTAGCAGTATAAACGATAAAAAAAAATGAAATAAAATGAGGGATGTCAAAGGGTCGTCTGTGTTGGGCTTTTGCTGAGATTCGCGTTTTCTCCCGCGCGTTATAAACCGTCTGAGACTGCGACCCACGCTGGCGCCATTTAGCCTCCTCCATCCTTATTCAATGAGAGAACCCAACACTGGCCTCACTGTTTATTCCCGATCGCCTTTTCCTCTCTACCTTCGATTCGACGGTTTTACTGCATACGTATAACACAAATACATGTAAGAAATTCCAAAGTCCCGACCGACTGGCGCCTCTTGTAACAATAATTATCATTCCCTCGTGTTGGCCTGCATTCTGTTTCATTCTCTTCTCGTTTATTCCCTTGTCTTTTATTTATTTATTTATTTATTTATTTATTTATTATTATTAGGAGTTATCAATCGATACCAGTGAATTATCGGCCTCAATGCACCTGAATGAGGTAAGCATCAAGGGAAATCGCCGACTGGCGCCAGGGGATTTTTATTGAAAAAATGGGGATTATTGAAAATACAAAACAATTTTTTTCTTCGGAAATCTAAAAACCGTTTAGGGGGTGGGGTCATAAGTTGAAATGGATTGAGAGCCGAATGTGTCAAGAGATTTTTGGAGGGAATTCTCTTCTTAACTCCACGAATTTTGAAGATATTTGAGGAATAAGGAAGTCGGAATATTACGGATGAATTGAATTCTACGATTGATATATTTAGAAAATATTCTTGAAGTGAATTTTTCATAGAAATATTTGATGATATATTTCAAAAACTGTTGAAACCTTTATGAGTTTTCGAGATATTTTGATACTAAATTATCATGACCCTGAAGTTTGCTGAAAATGATCTTTATCAGCGGATATTTCAGTGAAAAATCGAGGAATTGGAAAATATCAAATTTTTTTTTTTATAGGAAGAGATTTAGTGGTGATAGTTGCTAATTATATAAAAATATTATTTCAAAGGTAAGTTTCATGAAATATTTCGACTTTTTAAAAGAACTCGCGTTTTTGAGTCGTATCAATTCTAATTGCATCATTGAAAAACCCCGAAACTTCCCGATTTCTCCGAAATCCCCAACCCACACCCCCCTCGAAACCCCCCCAAAAAAATCCCACCCATCACCAAATATTTTCAGTCATAAATTACCTTTCATAAACGCCGACAACTCGCTACTACTCTCAACCACGTGGCGGCTCATCGCATCAAAATCCAAAGTGCACGTCACCTCACCCCTCAAAACCCAACAGCCCTCAAAATTCCCTCACTCGTATAAAAATCCACAAACTCCATAAACCCACAGGCCAGTGAATTTTTTTTTAAAAGAATCACAAAAAATATCCACAAGTCTCAATTAATCCAGTTTGGCTCCACAAACAGAAATCCTTTCCAATCGAAGTATTCACAAATTCAAATCGAACTAATCAGGAACTCCTCGAAAACACTCGAGATAAACTTGCAAAATGTGGATGTTAAGCTCGAAGTAACTCTGAAATTGTCGTAACTTCGACTTTAGTGTATTAGATGGCTTAAGCGGTAGATGCGTTCTCGTTAACGCACCGCAGAGTACTGAACTCAAAGACTGACTCGTCGCCTCGTGCAAGTGCCCAGTAAATAGAGAGGGGATAAAAGCTGTGGTAGGAGTGGGGGGCGTAGGGCAGAAGCAACTTTGAAGCACGATTCAGTGGGTTTGTGGGCTGCGTACGTGTCTGTGTACTTTGGGGAACAGCCAGCTCCCATCGAGCATGTCCATTTTTCTCTTTTCTCTTTTCTCTCTTTTTTATCTTTTTTATCTTTTTTCCTCGCTTTCCCCTCCTCTTTCTCTTTTCTTTTTTTCGCTCCTTTCTATTCCTTCGCTCATTTCGCTCATTTCTCTTTTTTTTACCTTTTTTCCTCTCTTTCCTCTCCTTTTTCTCTTTTTTCTTTTTCGCTCCTTTCTATTCCTTCGCTCATTTCGCTCATTTCTCTTTTTTTTACCTTTTTTCCTCTCTTTCCTCTCCTTTTTCTCTTTTTTCTTTTTCGCTCCTTTCTATTCCTTCGCTCATTTCTTTTTTTTTTTTACTTTTTTCCCTCTCTTTCTCCTTTTTTTTCCGCTCCTTTTGCTCTTTTCGCTCAATTCTCTCATTCCTCTATTTTCACTCCTTCCTCCATTGAAGTAAGTAATATTTGTTTATTCCGCTACTGTATCACAACTTTCTAGGTTCTCTCTTTCGGGTTGTTTATATATACAAACACGTGGGCCTATGTCTCATATGAACCGTAATAAAAAGAACAAGGAAGATGCGAAGGAGTATATTTTTCCTCAGAAGTCAGTTTCTCAGACGTGGGAGGCGTGAAGACCTCTCAATAAAAATTCAAGTTTTCCGTAATTTTTTTTTCATTTATTTCAAGTTCCTACCGATATTTCAATATTCTCTCTTATTGCTCTTTTCTTTTTTTTTCACTTCTATTATTTTCTGTCTATATTAGCTGCGAATCGATATAAAGGCTTGAAACTTGAGTGGACGAAGAAAATTAAACAGTCAAAATGGCGATGCTCACCGGAGAAAACGCTATAACAATTTTCGAGGGATTGTCACTCCGACTTCTAATTCCAAAGTCATTTCGGAATGCGCAGATGAAGTCAAACCGAAGTCCTTCAAAGCGTCTGAAGTCATTGAAGTCACTGAAGTCACATGATTTCAACTCCGAAATCGGCATGATGTCCGCAATCACGACGAAGTCATGCAGTCACGCTGAAGTTATGCGACATCAATTAAATCAATGCAAGCGAGGTTAAACATTTTTTTTTAATACAACTGATACGTTAAATAATTAATGTGTGAAATACTTCATGCATCCTTTCCCAAATAGGCAGTTCCTAAATTCATTCTTCATTCATTTTTATTCTTCATTCGTAACCATCGCGATTGGTAGACTGATATAATAGAAATTGAGTCATTGTCAAACCGCTTTTTAGCTAGTTTTTAAAAATCGTCTGTTTTTCTCCATTTCCTCTCATTTTTAAATCTTCATTTATGGCATTCTCAATAACTTCATTGACTCTAAAACCATTGATTCCAATCCCATGAAATAATTCAAAGTTCGTTCGGCGAATCACTTGAAGTCATTAAGGATGATCGTTTGTTGTCATCGAAGCTATCGAGAAATATCAGATAATTTTGAAGCTCTTGGGGTATTATTCCGAAATAATTTCTTTCAGGGGTTCAAGCCTTTCGATTTTCTACCTTATAGCCCCAGCGTATTGATTGAGAGTCAAAATCCGTTGAGTGGTTGGAGCTGAACGTGATTTCATCTTTCTTCTCTTTTCTCGTCTTGGATCGGTTTTGTTGTATCTACTCGGGATTCCTCTGTCTCACCAACAACTCGTATAGCTGGTGATGAGAGGAACGGCGAGGACATGAGTATTGTCGGAGGGGCGACAGAACGGCGCCAGCTCCCTCTCGTCTTCTTCCCCTTCTTCTACTTTTGCTTTTTTTTCTTTTTGGTCTTGCTTTTTTCTGCCCACCCACATGCGAGACGATTTTAGGATGTGTTGGAATGAGTGGGGAGTTTATGGGGAAGTGAAATGTCGGTACGACGCCTCGGATGGATAACCGTGACCGGTCTCATGGGGGAGGCATGCTTTGGTGTTCTTCGTTGAGTTTTTTTTTACTCTTGTGTTTTGGGGTTTGTTCGGTGAGGGGGAACCTCCCTGGAGGGGGG